ATATATATATATATATATATATATAAATCCAAAAGCTATGGAAACGCAAATGGGGACAGAGGAACCGCCCACACAACTGCATATGGAATATGTTTCTTCTATTGGGGCGAAACCTTTGCATGCTGATCGCCGAGCTCCGTGAACAGATCAACGACCATCTGATCAAACACCAGTACAAACCCGAGCTACTTCGTCAGGTTGACGAAGATATCACCTGATAATGTAGTGTAGACGGGAAGTACTCCATAGCTAGTTGATTCATTTACTCAGCATTAAAATGAAAGAGATGACATCACAACTACACATTACAACTATACATGTATCGCGATATTTCAACTATCGTAGTGACTGAAACATGAGGCGGCCTGGTGCAGCACATCCAGTTGCCTGAGAACATTATAAACGAGAGATTCAGCTGGGTTCCATGTGAGTCCCTCGAAAGAACCAAATTAGTTTGCACATGAGTGAGTGTCTATTGGCTAATTTGGTGCAATTTGGTTTGAAGTAGAACATGGGGTTTAGGGAAACCCGGGGACTGCGCCTACCTGATGAGCCGCGAGAAGGGCGAAACCGGTCGTGGGCTGTGGATGGATTTTCAGCAACCTTATGAGTAGTAGATTCTTTTCAAAAGCAGTTTGACCTAGTGTTGCCATATAGTTCACATTTCAATACGATGCGATCCTCCTTACCCCATATGCGCACAGGCTTCGCGTTATCTTGATCTTGAGTTATCACTGAAATGTGACATTTTAAAACTGCTTTGTTTGTTGGGTAGCCTACTTAACCAAACCTACTCAACACCGCACTGATGAGGTCACTCTGACTGATGCTTGCAAGTGAACCCCGAGGCTCAACTAACTGAACACCAATCCAGCCTACTTATACTTTGTGAGTAGCGGGAGGATTCAAATGTTTCAGATACGGCACGAGGTCGTTCACGTCGACCCAGCTTATGCTAACATTCAGGTGGGGTAGACGTCTTGGTGCTATTTCAAAGAGTGTGACATCATTTCGGCCAAAAGTACAATTAAGCACGTGATTCCAAATTTTACAGTTGAATAAAGCGTCGAAATAGCATGGCACTTTATGCGTGATACTTTGATATCCGTATTCTCTCACGCTACAGTTTGAATGGGTGAAGGGCAGTTTGTTGGTGGCTCTACGTCGCGAGTTCGTCACCTTCATGTTTACCAATCCAAAGGCTATGGAGATCTTGGACGCACTGAAGGCCGAAAAGCATTTGAAAAAGGTACAGGATGAACTTTTCTTTTCCACGCTGGCCTACAACCCCAAACTCGGAGCCCCTGGAGCATGTTTGTCGATACCACCAGCAGATAGCGATTCCGAACCACGATTTCAGTTCCTTGCTCGTTATGCCAACTGGAATGATAGTAACTGCCCTAGCGGGCTGGCTGTTCGCGGAGTCTGTATACTTGGCTGGAAGGATATTCCCGTGTTGATCAAGCAGCCTCACTTGTTTGCCAACAAATTCCTGCCAACTTTCCACCCGGAAGCTTACACTTACATGGAACAACGGTATGTGAACAAAGTTTCGTTAGAACACCAATATGGACAATTAGATCCCGGTTTCGACGAGCGCATTTTTGCGAATTTGTATTGCTCGCAACACCACATATGATGCTTAATTTTTGTTCCTGATCCAGTGGGCAGTTTGGAGACAAAATTATCCCAACGACTCCTGCTGGTGTTTCCATGAGCAAATTATATCGATCAGTTTTTATTCTTTTATGTTTTCCAGTCTTTGTCATATTCATTTTGTGAAACGAACCAATCGATACTGCCATTGACCGTTTGCTTTGCTCTGAACAACTTTGAAGCACTCAATCCGTCAGGTATACGAACCCACAATTCCAGTGGTCCTAAATTTCCTGTCTGTTCCTGTAAGCATGCCCGCTCCGGATGGAATGCCTCGGAAATTTTTTAATAGAATGAACTTTTCCTATTCTAGCAATCCCAAGTGTTTGGAGCATAGGAAGAGCTTCGACAAATTCACCCATTTGCATATCAATTTTGGTTCTCACGCGAGATTCAACCCAGTATTCTTCAACCGAATTTGCTGCAAAAAATCCGCCTCATGATTCAGTTGGTACGATTTTTGGAGATATCGCGGGGAGTTCTGAAAAAGCTTCCGTGTACCAATTGGTGTCCGAAAGGGATGCCTTCTCTCCCTATTCAGCGCACTAATCTTGAAGACTAGGAGCTCGTTTGATAATTAGAGACACCTGTGTTGTCAGATCGAGCTGGATTACGGGCTGTTTTATTGTAGGACTGTGGCCCGTTATTGTAGCGACAATTTATGTAGGCTTGTGCCGGCGAATCTGCAACGTGAAAATTATAAAACGTGTTTGGTTGTGTATAAGCGGCTTCACTCAAAGAATGCTTCAAGTTCCTTCATCTGCAATAACAGCGTTAGCACACGCTGAATCAGCGATTGCCGAACAGCGTGCTACTTTCCGTGTCCAAAGCAGGGTAGCAAGTGAGTTGTTAGACTTTGGAATGGTGGAGAGGTAGAAAAAAGATTGCGAAATGTCTGGTTTGATGCGATACAAATTTCAGGATAAGTACCGCGTGGTTCTCCCTTTGCACGCTTGGATATGCTGGAAGATGGGCTCTCTCCATCATGTTATTAACATTGTTTTTGTTACCTTCTATTCAATTTTTGTAAACGAGTGTCTGTTTCTGTAGTAGACTAGAACAAAGTTCATTCATTATCCACCTTCTATGCCTTGTAATAAGGAGCCAGAGTGAAGCGTGGTCGTACGGCGACCAGCTTCCAGTGTCCACTCAATGATGGCGATGATGATGATGATGATAATGATGATGATGATGATGATGATGATGATGATGATGATGATGATGATGATGATGATGATGATGATGATGATGATGATGATGATGATGATGAACCGAGTTTGACGCTTGAGCAAAGACATTCCGACTTCAATGAAGCCATAGGCACGTTCATGGATGAATCCTGAGAAATAAAAGAGAAGGTTATGTTGAAAAGACAAATGTTTGATGCTTCTAAGTTAACACCAGAATAAGGATTAACGAGGACAGGAATTAAGGATCACCGTTAAAATCGCACACATTACTTGAAGTAAGTATCTTAGTACGGTTAAAACAAGAAATACGCTCATTGTCGAATCGCTTTGTTGTTAACGCTGACTTAAATGACTCTGGTTTATAATATGCAGAAAACTGCTCTTAATTAAATGGGACCATAGAACTGGAGCCGAGTATTACGGTATACACCAGGTTCTATGTGATTGCGGAACAAGTTATATTGGCAGGACCGGTAGGTACATCGTTATCTGAATGGGGATAACATGTGAACATTTCGCTCCAAAACTACCGTTTTAAAACTCCGCATCGCAGTTCTCTATGGCCAAGCATCTTTCCTAACAGGCACCAAGTAAATTTCAAGTCACATCGAATTCTACATGTCCTGGGGTCTGCGGAAACCACCTCAATAAATTGACCGGATAAAAAAACCTCCATCGAGTGAAGATGACCTTTTCTGTACCTCTTCTACGGAATTTGACGTACAGAAAAAGGATGAAGGAAGAAGAATAATGTAACAAGATGAGTGAAACTTCCATTTGACGAGTCATCACTCAAGGAGTCGGTTAGTAGTGCACCACATGACGTGGTTTCGGGACTGAGGGATGAGTAGCGCTACGTTGTCTACGTGAGAGCTCATTGCACTGTTGATCATACACTCGTCCTCAAACAGTTAAGTCTTCAACCAGTGGTCGGAAGATGGCACATTCGAAACTCTGTGAGATTCGTTATCTGCGCACTAATGAGGATGAAATCAACAAGGAGGAACCACGTGTACATTGCTACTCTGCTTTTCAGCATCGACTGACCTCACTGATGAATTAATTTTCTGTCAGAAGTGACCAACTCTCCTCACAACATAATCAATTGACAAAACGAGGTTAAACTACTGGATAAACGTCAATCTGGTTAAGACCAATGGTCGGTTGTAAAGAGCGGCGAAACTGGTGAGTTCGACGATTCACGTGCGGCTGACAAGTGCTTGTCGGCCAAAGTGACACGCAAAACGTTTCAAAAGACACAACTGCCTTTCGAGGAGCAGGCAAACGTATCGTTAATATGGACAAGAGAACCCGGAAGTACAAATAAGTGCGAATGAGAAGAACGTGAAACGGGTCAACACGGCGTCCACTGTATCGCAGCCCGACGTGGACAGATGGGTACAGATACTTTTGTGTCTCTGTCTCCTTAAATTCAAACGGAAACTTGCGCATTTTCGACTCACACAGTAAACATTTTTGAGCAATCATCTTGACGGAAGACTTGGACCTCCTAAGATATGGGTTTATGCAAAATGGCTTCTCAGAACGCTTCTGGAGAAAGCCGTCAAACTGAGATCTCCGAATCAAACTATACAGAGGGGCGAACTGTAATCCACACTCTCATTGGTCCTGCTTTTGAACCCGACTTGGATAGTAAAGTGCTCATCATAAAAGACAGTTGCAAGAGCGTTTTACGCTGCACGTCTTAATGTAGTTCTCATCGACAATTCCGTGATCATAGGACAATAGCTAAATGACCACTCCAGGCCACTCCAGTGTGCCTTTAAATCTGTCTACTTCTGCGGAGTCACCTATGTCGGCTGAACGACGAGTTGATGGTTGAAGCGCATGTCTGCTTGGCCAAGTACTCAGAGCGTAAACAATGGACAGACACGCGGTTTAAGTTCTGAATCTTTAAGCCAATCTATGGGGTACAAGTCAAGATGCCAGCTACTGTAAGATTCTTTCTATCGCAGAAGCAAATTGCATCCACCTGTGTCTGTCAAGAATTTCATTTACCGGAACGCCTTGTTCGCGTCAGACGTTTTTTCTGGCGTGGTTAGACAAGCACTTTTCCGACCCAAGTGGCTAGGCACGTACCAGTCACCATCGATCAAATCGGACTGATTTCACCCACACTCAGTATCGATTTTTCTGTTTTGAATATGTCAGAACCAGTAGAAGCGATATTGCAGAAGAGAATGTTGGTAGCTCAGGTAGCATAGATGTTCGTCGGTTTGTTCGCTGAGCTGAGCAATATGATTGCAAACGCTTCATCACCAATCGAGGTGACATCACCTCTTCACATCGATGTCACCTCGACTGGTGATAAAACGTTTGCAATCCAACTACCTAACTCAGCTAACAAGCCAACGACTATTCTGGTATCTATCTGAACGATCGTCCTGTGAATCAAATCAGTGTGGCCCTAAGCCGCCTAGCTACAACAACGCGCAATTTCGTCGAATTAATATGTGAAACAGCGTGACGGCAGTTTGGTTAACTTAAGCTGAAAGGACTAAAATTATAGGTAAAAAGCGGAGAGAACTTCCACGATCGCCGGTCTGCATGACTTCCAGATAAGGTAGACACGAACAAGGGACGTAGTGTATGCTGGCACGCAACACTTGTCAGCCCTATCAAGGTCACATTTATACAACCAGTTATGGCGGAATATGACGCATCGTGGTTCAAATTATGGCGACTGTGAGAAATCGATTCCGGATGCAGCATAGCATGGCAGAACCTTTAGTGGCAGGCAAGTGCGGAGGGCAGTACGTCCTACATACGGGACATTATATGACCACATTTGTCGTAAACGTTTAACTCCACCGTACAAAGTTCCACTATTTACGACCTTATTTCGTTCATGTGACGGCTTTGGATAGGACGCCATACACACAATTTTATTGCTCATTTATTAAACACAATCGAAAACACAAATACGTGCTCGCGTTAGCGTATAACAGAAGTACACATGAATCGGCAAAACAGTGTGAAATATTTGTGTTGAAAAGGCTTAAATTCGGTGCTCAGTTATCTCACATTTATAAGTGCGGCATGTTACAGTAGTAACCGGTGAACCATCTTCTGGAAAGAACTGGATGTATATGATGCGTGAGAGGCAAGTACATTGCCACTGATGATGTCACCTCGATTGGTGATGAAACATTTGCAATCAAACTGTCCAGCTCAGCGAACAAACCAACGACCAGATATTGCAGAGGTCAACATTTCCTGAGTGAGCTCGTTCTTATTTTCTGATTGAGATATTTCAGACCTACCAACCAGTAAACTGATCTAACTTCTGGACTGTCCCGGACTTAATGACGTCATAAAAACAGTTTCTGTCTCGCTGGCTGGCCTAACAGATGACAGTCAGTACTCATACAATAAATCTTGCTTTGGAACATGACAGAAGACCTATTACTTCGGGTTAATCGCCTCGAGACTCAAATGACAAGACAAATGAAATGCTTTACTGTGCCAGTTTCGGTGTTCCAACTTTTAGGCATAAGCGATGGTTCTGCATTGTTCTAATTGTGTCGAATCCTGCATGGCCTTCTCCATCGCTCCGGCCATCGGGCCTACCAGTCTCTACATTGTTCAAACGTGATTTTTGCAAGTCACTCGCTAAACCTGCTGGTATACTGAAGTCGACTCCAGAAAAATTAAAACTTCATAATTCGTACTTTCTCCTTCAAAGTTTGTATTTTTATGTTTTTCTCGGTGGAGTACCATGCTCCCAGGACTGGTCTGTTTTTCTTTATTGCATCTCGCGATTCGACCTACCACTTTGCTATTTGATTGGCCAGTTCAGCGGCTTCAATTTCCTTCGATTTAATTGGCCTTTATCCACATTCCCTTGCACTGTGTTCTGAGTTCCCTCAATCTGATCGATGCATCTGGAGCTCTCTTGTCTTGTGATATGCATACCGCTTCCGATTCACTGATGCGATGCGCCTACAATTCGCCTTTGGATTGTGTTCATCTCCCTGATACTTCATTACTCGAAAGTCCTCGTGAATTTGGATTGTTGTGCATCGTCAAACGGTGCAAACAAGCAAACGCCACACAACCCCAAGATTCCGGGTTACCTTCAAAGCGGGATGCTATAGGAGTACACTTAGTTTGATTCAATGCGGGAACTCCTTGTCACCCACTGAGTCCGGACAATCAAAACCAAACCTTATTTTGGTCACGCTAAAAGAACGGCTGTTTGAGCTTATAGCGGTTAACGGCTGGG